TTATTGTGAATAAAGATCCAACAATTACAAATTCAACTTCTTCGCACATTAGAAAGTGTAATAGATAAATGATTAATATAAATGTACATTAATGAATATATAATAAAAATCGTTATTTATGCTGTTTTTGTCATTTGACACAAAATATATATCCTGGAGTATCATAAACTTTACTACTGCACCGAGTTTATCTCGTCGACTATCCCGTCTCACTCCGTTTCTTCACGTCGCGTCGCATCCGGTTTTCTCCTGATTCTCTCTCTCTCTCTCTCTCTCTCTCTCTCTCTCTCTCTCTCTCTCTCCGCGGCCGCTTTAATTGCGTGTCTTCCTTCTTTCACTCAATTATCCTCCTCAAATCAACGCGGTTGGCCGTGTCGCAGAGGCTTAAACAATGTTCCTCAAAACTAGGTGAGCCACTTTTACGCTACATCGCGATCAGATCGCGCTCAATCTTTCCGGCTATTCGCCCGCGCCAAATTATTCCGTCGCGAGTAACACGAATGGAGTGTAGAATGAATAATTATGAAATATGGGAAGACGAAGAGTCATTTTTCTTGTAACGCGATTGAAATATCGCGAGTCTTCTCGACATTTCACTCGCGCAGATTATTTCGTCGCGGATAAAAGTGCGGAATACAGAACAACGAGATAGATGAATAGTAGTGGAATATAGAGGAACTACTTTTATACGCGACACGATGAAAACGCAATGGATCTTTACGATCTATTCGCCTCTGCGAAATACTCTGTCGCGCGGCGAATAAAGAGACGAAATACAAAGAGAAGGCCGTAAAGCTTCCTGGCAAATGACAGAATTATCGTTATTGCTTTCGATTGAAAATTGATAAAAGTGGAATCTTTAAAATATCCATGTATGCGTAAATTAAAAGGAATTTTTATAAAATATTTCTACTTTGCGATATTTAAACTTACAGGTAAAATAAATGTAAAAGATTGCCTTGCTATAATAAAAATGGTTCCTTCGATTCTCGGCTACGTTCATTTTGGTTTTATATAAAAAAAAAAAAAAAGAAAATTAACGCAATTATTGAAAGATACACATTGTTAAAATCATAATGTCAAATTGTACTCAAATTGAATTATTGTTAATTATTTCTATAGACCGTCACTGCCCCTACCCAGTGTAATCCCGATAATTGAATTAAAATAATAGAGTTGAACAATTTAACTAAAAAAAATGTATTAAATTTAACTGAAATTTAGTTTATTATTTACTACATGCAGTACGTACACATATATTAAATGTTTACTACAGAAATGGATTAATTTACATTTTGACGCATGGAAGTTAAAAATGTTATTTTGGCAAAATGTGTTATTTAACGGATTGAGTTGCTCCTTTCGTTCATATTCTTAACTAACAGTTTAGCCGGAAGATGCTGCTTTAAGATGCAACAAGTGCGACT